TCTCGATTTTGCGTGCGATGCAATTTATCTTGATTCGTAAGACTAATGTGATATAATTGGACATAAGGGAACTAGTAATGATAGAGAATATGATAAAATATGGAATTTCATGTGATTGTCTTTATAAGACATGTTTGAGGCTGGTATGCCAAGATGGTCGTTGTGTGGACGGTCTTGAGCAATGGTGGTAATTTCGGAGAGCATGTGGCTCGTGTGTGATCATTGAGGATCATGGAATTATGCTTGAATAATTATTATGTTGTGCATAATTTGTGTCATGCATTCATGTAATGTTATGTGGAGACGAGCTAGGTGGGAATCCATGATGGGTTTCTAGTCTTGTCCGAACTCTATGTGGGAACCGTGTGGAGATAAGTTGTAGTTTTGAGGAACGTATACATCTTCTCCGAATTTCGATGGGAATCGGGTTCTAGGGTGTACCTTATGTGATTGTGATGGTACTACATGCATTGCATCGTTCCAGTGAGTCACATTGCATATATATAATTGATTGTGGACTGTTGTTTATGCTGAATGATGATGTGGCACTTGTATATGCATGATGATTGTGTGATTGGTGTGTTAACTACTCTTAGCATGTGTTTTTCACCGTATAAATATTGAATGTAGTTCTCACCCCTTTTTCTGTTTTGTTGTGTTTGTGCTCCTTGGGGAGTACAGATGATCAGGTACTTGAGTAGTGCTTGGAGCATTGTGTTGCTATTTGGTCGAGTCTTAGGAGTTGTTCTGATATGTAACATGGGAAGGATGGATACTTCGTTATGTTTTTCATGTTATTTTTTATTTGTTACGTATCATGCTTTGTTTTAATTGTTGTTGAACCACGTATTATATGGAGATTTGATGTAATTGGAGCTTTAATGCTAAACCATTGAGTTGATTTCCGTTGTTTAATAAAAGTATTTGTTTTTATTGATGAATAAGAGATGAAGTGATTTGGTACTTCATAATGAGGTTTTACAATGTGGCATCCTACGTGTGTAACTCTGATTATTTCCGCAATTATTTTTGTATTTTTTATTTTTATGCGAATGGGTAGAGTAGGGTGTAATAGATCACAACAGGGTTTACCATCTTTCTTACCATATTTCTTGTTGTCTTTATTGAAGTTGTTTGTGACAAGGGCAGAACCATCAGTTGTTGAGTTTGACTTTCCCATCATTACTCTTTGTCTAGCCTCCTCCCTTCTGATTTTTGAAAAGGTTTCTATGATAGTTGGCAATGGATTATTTCCAAGAATTCTACCTCTTACTTCATCGAGTTCCTTGTTGAGACCAGCAAGAAAAATAAAGACACAATCGTTCTTTTGTGTCTTAATAAACTGAACATTGTCTTCAGTACACCTCTAGTTATAATCATAAGACTGATCCAACTCTTGCCAAAGGGCCATCAATTCATTATAGTAGGTAGTGACATCCATGTCATTATGCTTTTAATTCCATAACTTTGATTTTAGATCATAAATTTGAGAGAAACTTTTAATATCAGAGTAAGACAATTTTACAACATCCCAAACATCTTTTGTTGTAGGCAGATACATGTATATTTTTCTCATACCTACCTCCATAGTATTAACAAGCCAGACAATAATAGAAGAGTTTTCAGATTTCCAGAACCTATAATTAGGATGTGTTGTTGTAGGCACCAGAACATCACCTGTAAAAAACCTAACTTCACCTTGCCTTCTAGAATAAGTCGAATAGTTTGGGACCATTCAACATAGTTTAAGCCATCTAGTTTCTGAACATTAACCTGAAGAGAGTTATTTTGACCTCCACCTCCTAATTTACTATAAACACCATCAAATGGGTAGCCATAATCGGACCCGAAAAAGTTGTTGTTAGGATCACCTCTGCCATAACTGAACCCACCGTTAAGATTGTTGTTTGCATTGAACCTTGGCATTTTTAGCATGGTAAATCCACTTCCTCCGACAGAATTGTTGTTGGTGCCGCCGAAATTGATGTTGGTGCCGCTGCTGGAATTTTTGTTAGCACCGCCTCCACGATCTCCTCCAGGAGGAGGTGGTGTTTGGATAGGGTCCACCATAGTTTGGATCGGTCGGGTCGGATAAAAGAACGGGTCGTCAGAATTTTTTTTGATCAATTAGGGAAAGCTTGTGTTCCCCGAACCCCATTAATTAGGGAAAACTTTACAGTATCACCCTAGCCCTAACATAACTCATGATACCATGTAGAAAAGCATATGAGTGATAATTTTGTTATATTATTATGAAGAAAAAAAGACTCCTTTTATAGGAGAGAAAATACAAAATTAACTCCTTTATTTTAGGAGTAATATAATGACACTTAAACAAGAAAATATATAGTATTAAATAAGAAATATTAGTATTAAATAAGAAATATTTCAACAATGTGTAATGAAAGCAAAACAAAATGTTGTTTTCAAGAATTTGACCTTTGAATAAAGTCATTGATTGGCCTGATATCATCGTTGATGTACAATTTTGTAACATTGCAAGTGTTAGAAACAAAAAGAAGATACTTTCTTATATGTACAATAAGATTGTATGTGTATTAAACCATTAAAAAGAAAATACACAAATGAACATACGACAACATACAAAATCGAAGAATGGCAAACTTTCCTCTTTGACTTTGGCGTATTGGAGTAAGATGACAGTTGGCAAGGCAAAATCAATTTTTTGTTTATTGAATTTGATGAGTTGTGATGCATAAGCTTCCCAGAGGGTACTGTTGATTGTATTGTTGCTACAAATAGAGGAAGACAAATTAGCCAGTAGAAATAAGATCATAACGAGTAAAAAGAGAGGTTGGTAAAGATAATAGTTACCCCAAGTGTCACAACACCATGTTGACATGTTGTTTCATGTCACCGGTCTAGATCTGTGTGTACCCAATTTCGTCCACCATTCCTATAATATATGTGAAATTTGGCATAAAGCTTATGTGGCATCAGGCTGGTAAGGACAAAAAACCTAAAGTTTAATTGATCAAACAAAAGTCATACCTATGAAGGAATTTGTTTTCCATTTCCCAGTTATAATATCATATGGGATGACGTTAATAACCTTGTCTGAGATTATATGCTTGTTTGTGTCACCAACCGTGGTTCCTCCAGTGAACTTAATGAAAAACTTATGATTTGAAGGTCTGAAAACCAACTCATTAAGTTGAACCTAAAAGTTGGCTACTATGCAAATGTTGTTAACAGCTAAATGTGAATCGAAAGTCTTGCTATACAATGTCGGAACAACCACATGGATATCAGTCCCCGTTACAAGCAAGCAAAACACATAGTTCCTTTATCATCATGAAAATAAAAAATAACTAAAACAACATGAATATTATAAACAACAATTTTTTTCCACAAAAAACATCAAAAACTCAAAACATAACCCATTTGCAAGTTAGTAAAAAATCAAAACAGTGTTGAATATGATATATCATAAACTCACGTATTTGTTGATGATAATCATCTCAAAGTGCTTCTTCGTGTTAGAGACGACATTCCATCTATGATGAACTTTCACAGTGATCTTCCAAATCTCTTTTGTGTCGTTAATGCCCTTCATGTTCTCAAATGGTCTTGCCATGTAATCCGAAATTTGTTGAACAAATGAAACAATGAAAGAAGGATTAACAAAACTAAGAAAACAATGAAAAGGTGAGAGAAAGAATAACAAAATTGGTGAAACTACAAAATGAAGAAATAAGAAGATTTGGTCTGGAGAAGATACAGAAAGCTACATGAAGTGTGATTATGTGAAATGATGTTTGCTTTTTAAAGATACAGAAAGTATGAAGTGATGAGTTGGTTGAAAAGTTTTTTGAATTCGTGTTGTAGCGGAACACAAGCAAGGCATAATTGGTTGCAAATGAACCAAATTAATAGCATAAAGCAGATTACATGAATACCCTCTAAACAGTAGCCTTGGACCAATAAGTGAAAAGGGTAGTATGGTCTTTTCTAGAGCATACTAATTTTTTATATGGTAAACACACATGATACAATAACCGTTAATAATTCCATAAAACCTTCAAAAGCCAATCATCAACAACACACCATCAAAACCAAAACAAAACAAAAAAAAGGAAAAGAAGAAGTAAACCGAAACCGCAACGAAACATAATATCAGCGCCGTAATGGTCTAAATTGTCTCTGCAAAATGCCATAGCCTCCACGAATTTGTTTTCCTGGCCATTGAAAATCACCGCGCACGATTTCGAATTTGCCACTGCGCTTGTGTTTGATTCGGTCTGACCACTATTGTTCCTCCATTTTGTCTGGTTCTCTTTCTTTCTTTTTAGTTTTAATTTCCGTTCCTCCTTTGATCTTGTGTGATATATTTCTTAATTCATAGTAATGTTTTGTTTGAAAAGGGGTTTGCGATAAGAAAGAGTGATTTTTATTTGGTTTTTACAAAGAAAAAGGGTTTGTATTCTCTGTCTGAAAATGGATATCCTCAGCTCTTGGGCAGCAGTGCAGCTCTATTTTTATGAGAGTAAAGAGAGAGAAGTTGGAAATAAAAAAAATGGTGAAGATGAGATAGAGTAAAATGATGAGAGAGATAGAAACAAAAAGAGGGCATAAGAAAGGGCTGCAGAAAAATAAAGCAGATGATCCAAATCCTATATTTAGACTAGAAAACTACAAACTATTACTAAGTTAGAATCAATTTTGTAATATCAATTCTACTTAAATTCCATCAAACTTACATTTACATTTGATAATCAAAATTAAAAAAAAGAATTTAATTAAAATACACTGACAATGTAAAAGAATTTTATACTGTCAATTAATTATAAACGCTTAAATGTAAAAAGAAGTTTGACTTTTATTTTAATAACTTCTAAAGTAATGCAACAGATGATGGTGATGAAACTGCCTAAAATTTTTTATATTGTCAGTACATAGTAATTAATAATAAAAAAAGTGTATACTTATATGATATCAAGGGTTCAAGTCCAATTAATTAAACTAGCTATGACAAAAATTCAATATATAAACTCCTTTACAATACTCATAACCGCACTAGCCCTACCAGGATCCACCATATCAATATTATGAAACCCAACAGGATCAAACCGAGCTTCAACCTGTACCCCACATCTGACCAACATAGTCACAAATTCTTGTTGTCGATCAAGCATGATATCTCCACCATAACCAATAACAAGACACCTTCCTATTTTCTTCACATTTTCCAAATGTGGCCCTTTCGCCATAGGATTGCTATATCTATGGTCACGATCTGTCTCTTTAGGCAAAGCTAAATCCCACATCATGTCCAACACCGGTAAGGGCAGTGTCTGGTCCGTCGCAAACCTTGTGATAAAAAAACAACGTTAGATCAGCAGAGCCATTGAAGTTTTTGAAGATACTGTGTAGATTAATTAAGATTTAAGTGTAGAAAAACTAATAGTCTTATTTTGTCATGTTTTAAATGTGACAAATATTAGAGACCGTCGTAATTTCATGCGACTAATGTAAAATAAATAAATAAATAAATAAATAAAATTTTATGGACCTTAATTCTGAGGCTGTCCTTTTCTCCCCAGAAAACATAGGTTGGTTCATAACAAAGCCACAAATCATGAGAGGCTCCAAGTCCATTTTCTCAATGTGCATGGCTGTATTGAACACAATGTTCCCACCAGAGTCACATCCATAAAGATAACATCTCGAAGGATCGCCGTAGTCTCTCAGCCACTGCTCACCGCCATCATGTGTAATTTGATTTTTCACCCACAATATAGCTTCCCAGGCATCATGATATTGTCCGGGAAGCCTACTCTCTGGCGCGAGACGATACGCGACGGAGACAACAATACTAGGGATGTCAGAAGATATGTTGGAACATTTTTTATGGACGTCTGAATCGGAAGGGCTAAAGACTACCCAGCCACCACTATGAAAATAGATTATTATCGGTATACGCGCAACCATTGTGTCGTTTGATGGAAGCTTTGTCGGCCGGAAAATACGAACCCACAATTTGGTTTCATCGTTAATGGTTATGTCTTTGGACACCGTTGAAACCCCGGGCGAAGGCTCGGGGTTCGCCTTGGTTTGGAGTTTTTGAAAGGCGCGGTGCATGCTTCCGTCGGGGTTGTAACTCAAGCCGTAGTGTGCGTATGGATCAAAACTTGACATTGTTTACTCACTTTATTTTTTTGTTTTCTTCTTTGAATTAAGGTTGATGATGGAAGAATGAAGGACAATACAATAATGGTGAATTGTGATTTTGAGGCTCATGGCAATGTGCAAAATGCATGGATTATGAGTATGTGTGAGTTGGTTAGATGATTTTCTAAAATTGAGATTTTGGTAGATCGAAGTGGAAAATTTCTTGGCTTTGTATGGAAGGTTACCAGGTGAGTAGATTAGCCTAACATGTGTAATGTTTTGCACCAAGTGAATTTATGTTGTGGTGTTATGCTATTGTTTCACTAAAAATTTAAATTTGGTTAACACTTATATATATGTTAGAATAAACTCACATGGTAAAAGTTATAAAAACATAATATATTGTGACATATACCTGAATATACATTTTTTTAGTATTTAGTATGCGTGAGTCTTCGCTATTAAATTTTTAATTAAAGTTTTTTTTGTTGTTAATATAGTACTCCTATTTAATTATTCAATGTCATGTGTGTTAAAAAAAAAATTTAATGCTACTTCAGTTAAATTTATATGTATTATAGACAAGTTTACTACCAAGAAAAATATTTTTTTTTATCTCAGTTATAAATGGAAAGTTAACCTCAATTTATGTGAGAAATGAAACGTATCATGAAAAATATATATTTTTTTTATAATTGGATGGTGCGCCTCACTTTTTCCTAAATTATATGAAACACTGAGGTTTTATGGATTCAGTCTTACCACTATAAAAAATTGCTTAATTAACTAGGGGTATTTGCAAGGTGAAAACTCTCACTAAATTTTTATATTGATTGGGATTTATCTCATTGCCATGTATAAAATTAAAAACAAAATTAATAAAGTAAATAATATAGGAAACCTCTCGCAAATGTTAAGGAGGGAGATTTTGAATTTTGAAATTGACCATTTGCGAGGAAACAATCCTAACTAATGGTTTCAGTAAATTTTGCAAGAGACAACTCCGCGTAAATTTTGAGACGGTATCCCATCACACCTACCTCGTGTCAGACATTTTAATAAAGATATTTATATTTGTAAGGGATACCCCTAGCCTTATATATCCTCACATTTGCAAGGGATAACCCCTCGAAATGCTTGAGATGGTTCTTGTCATTTGGAAGGTAATTTTATAACTTTTTTATTTGTGTTCTTTTTTTAATTATGATTTTTGGATTATATTAAACCCTTAATTTTAATTTATTTTGTTCATTTTTTATTTTTTTCAATAAAGGTTTAAGCTTTTGCAAGAAGAGCAAAATAAAAGGTTCGAAATTGTTTAATTTTTTATTCAAAGTACACATTTTTGGTGGAACGTGAAAGAAGACAAATAACAATGTAACACCTAATTTTGTTAAAATCAAATTCTATTGTTCTAATTTATTTTCTTTAATTTTTATTTATAGTAATATTTTTATATTTTATGAATTATTGTTTGCTTTTATCTTAAAATATATAATGTCAACTCGAAATATGAAACAAGTTAATCAAGATTAAAAAAAAAGAAAAATTTATTGATGTTGTTATAGAAAAATCGAAACAAATAATAACAGTAAGAATCGCAAAAAAAAAAGGTTTTAGGTAAATTTATTTATAAAGAAAAAGGAAATATCAAAATATTGATGATTGTTCGTTAATGTTACTAAAGAAAAATTGAAAGGTCTAGTTACATTTTTTGAAATTAAAACTAATAAAATCATATCTAAGATCAACAATGTCTTGATAAAGATTAAATTAGTTGTTTTTACTATTTATTGAATCTTGTTTTACAAAAATCAATTATGATAATTTAATAAACAATTTTGCATCTTAAAAAGACAAAAAAAAAAAAATTTTTTAATTATTTATATTAAAACATCAATTTTATCAAGCCCCAATTTTTAGAGTTCACTTTAGGCTTTAATATTGATTGAGATGGTTTTATTAGTATTATTTATTAACATACTTTGTTTAATACTACATCCGTCTTAAATTATAAGACGTTTTGACCATTTCACACAAATTAAGAAACTTAATTATTATTTTACGTAAAAGATAAATTATGTATGACTTTATAATAATACCCCTCATAATTATATATGAGAGAGAAATTAAAAGAATTAAAAAAATAAATAATACTAAATACTTGAGGATATATTTAAAAATATATCATTAATATTACATTGGAATCGAAATCTAAGATGACTTATAATTTGAAACAATTTTTTTTTACAAAGTGATCTATAATTTGAGATAAAGAAAATATGATTTAGCATACTGTTTTTATATATTTATTTATACGGCATTTACAACCTATTTTATATATTTGTTTATATTGCTTTTATAACCTATTATTTAACATACTGCTTTTCATATATTTATTTAGTATTATTTAGTATTATATAATATTTCTTTTATATATTTGTTTATACTGCTTTTATAATATTATTTTAGAAATAATATATTATTTATGAATTATATAACATATTATTTCTATATATTATTGTTTTAAAATAATAATTAAATTTATTATTATTTAATATATAATTATGTTCAAATTAATACCTTCTAAACTAGTATAAATCATATTTCAAAAATAAAATATAAAAATATAAAAATAATATATATTAATTATTATTTAGTAATATATTTTAGTAAAAATAACACTTAATTTTTTCTTAGAAATATTAAGTATTCTGTGATAAATAATAATAATGTTTTATTTTAATATTATATACTATTTTTATTTTTTAATTTCAAAATAATACTTAAAATAGTATAAATTATATTTCAAAAATAAATAAAAAACAATATAAAAAATAGTATGTATTTATTATTATTTAGTAATATATTTTAGTATTACTTTATATCATCTTTAGTGGGAGTAAGTTAAATTGATAAACTAAGATACTTTTTGTAAATCCAAAGATACTTAAAATGTATTTATTATTATTTGTAGGATTTAAAAAATTTATAGTTGATTTGAATTGTTTTTACTTTAATGATGGTTGCTTGTAAAACACCAAAATTTGACCCCACGTTTTATATTTTAATATTATAAAATAATAATAAAATAATAATTAGAGCCATTGAAATTTGATAGTGTGCGTTGGTTATATAACTAATTGTTAGTTCACTTACTCTTATGTCATTCTTATTCCAATGCAAATTGTTTATAGCTACCGTTACTATTAACGAATTTAATACTACAGAATTTGTACTAAAGATGCTCTTAGTAAATATAATTAACATTTATAAATTATTTTAGAAATATTAAATATTATGTGATATATAATATTATAATAAAATACTATATTATTTTAGTATTATATATTGTTTTGATAAAGTATTTTTGAAATAATATTTTAAAAAATAGTAAATTTTTATTATTATTTGGTAATATATTTTACTATTATTTAGTAATATATGTTAGTTTAGTAATATATTTGAATTGTATATGGTAAAGTATATATTTAATTAATTGTATGATTAATAGATCTTTGTAACTGTATAATATATGTTATTATCTCCCTTTTTAAAAATATATGCTAGTTATATGATGTTATCGATAAAAATTTTAGAATTTGTCGATAGATCAATCTCCATATTATTTATTAAATTTAAACACGAACAATGTTGTACATGTGCAGTATGGAATATTATCAATTCTATTGTAGTTGGATGTGTGATAGAATGTTTCCAGTAAGACGTAAGTTTAAATCATATTTTAAGGAGGGAGTTGTCGAGTTTCTCATATATGTGTTTGCTTAAGAATGTTGTAGAATCAAAGGAGGGGTAACATGTAAGTGTTTAAGGTGTGGTTGCAGGAATATAGTTAATGACCCAAGTGAAGTGAAACATCATTTGGAGAGAGTGGGTTTTAGGCCAAATTATTGGGTTTGGACATCTAATGGAAAAAAACCGCCAGAGATGAATATAGAGGCTTCTAGTGGTCAAACACATATTATGCCAGAGATAAATAGAGATGCTTCAAGGAGTCAACCACATATGCAATACCAGGAATAATTAAATCTAGTAGATGATATGGTCGGTGACACATTAGGGGTGAATGTGGCTTATAAGGAACCTCAAGACTTTGATGCAGAAGAGCTACCAAATGAGAAAGCACACAAATTTTATCAGTTGTTGAAAGAAATAAATATACCATTATTTTAGGGGTCTTATGACTCTAAGCTATCAATGTGTGTGAGGCTCTCGGAGGCGAAGTTAAATTGGAATATTTCTGATCAGTATTTTAAATTCTTTGCAAAAATGATGTTGGACGCAACTCCTATGAAAGAAAACATGCCTACAAGTTATTATGATGAAAAGAGGATGGTGTCGAAGTTGGGACTAGAAGTAAAATAGATTGGTTATTGCATAGGAGGTTGCATGTTATTTTATGATAATGATTATGTATAAATGATGGGACATTGGAGGAATGTAAGTTTTGTAAGAGTCTAAGGTATCTAGTTCGCAGTAAATGAGTTTATCGAAAGCAAAATTGAGTTGTAGTGAAGTTCATGTTTTATCTTCCAATAATATCTAGGTTACAAAGAATGTTTGCATCAATGCATAGTGCAAGTCAAATGACATGACATCATACAAAAACAATTAGTTCAGGCATGATGCGACGTTCATCTAATGGCGAGGCATATAGACACTTTGATATAATACATCCATATTTTGCAGTTGAACCCATAAATGTTAGGCTTGGATTATACTCGGATGATTTTACTCTGTATATCCAATCATCAATAATTGCCTATTCTTATTGGTCAGTTATTGCTATCCTGTACAATATCCCTCCTGAGATGTGCATGACCTAAAGGAAGGAATATATGTTTTTGAAATGCCTCACTCTAGGATCTTTGAGTCCAAAGGAAGGTATATATGTTTATTTACAACCTTTAATTGATGATCTAAAGAGGTTATGAATTGGAGAATGGATTTATGACGTGTCTCGTAAACAAAACTTTAATATGCGAGCTGCTTTGATATGGAAAATT